AGTGGTTTAGCGCCGCCTTTGGCCCAGGGCGTGATCCTGGAGACCTGGGATGGAGCCTGCTTCTCCCTCTGCCTGTGTCTCTGCCTCTCTCTCTGTCTCTCATGAATAAATAAATAAAATCTAAAAAAAAAAAAAAAAGATTGTATTTATTTATTTGAGATAGAACATGAACAGGGGGCAGAGGGAGAGGGAGAAGCAGATTCCCCGTTGAGCAAGTTGCCCAATGTGGGGCTCGATCCCAGGACCCCGGGATCATGACCTGAGGGGAAGGCAGACGCTTGACCGACGGAGCGCCCCCAGGCGGCCCCACAAACACATTTCAAGTGTAGTCACTCGCCACAGGTGATGAGTGGCTATAGCATACTGGACACGCAGATAGATGATGGGATATTTCTATCCACAATTTCCTTATGGCCCCTGCCTCCTTACCCCCGCCCCCATCCCCACCTCCCCAGTCAGCGTGCGACAACCGATGGATGTGATCAGCATGGTCCTCCCCAAGCCTACAGGTATTTACGCAACCATAGACTAGTATTTTACAAACTTGTGGTCACTGTCTTTCTTTAAAAAAATAAAATCCGTACCCACTGTTCATATGTATTTTTTCCTTTTTTTTCACTCGAAATGCATCAAGAACATCTCTTTGGGTCAATAGATTTAGATCTAATTTATTCTTTGTGATGGCAGCATAAAATTGCATGCTGAGAGTGTATTATGACTTATTCAACCATTTCCTGATTCAAGGGCATCCAGGTTTGCAGTCTTCTGTTTGTTTGTTATTCTAAACAGGATTCTAATAAACATTCTCATCCTCATAGCCCTACCCCCTGGCACTTCTTATTTCAGAGAATAAATATCCTAAATTAAGATTTCTTGGTTGAAGGAATGGGTATTTTATCCACTTGTAATAAATATTGACAGATCTTTTTTCCAAAAAATTGAAGCAATTTCTGATCACACCAGCAATGTGTGAGGGTGCCTATTTTCCCTCATACTTACCAGCCTTGGTTGTTATTGTTTTTATGTCTTTTAAAGTTTTTTGCCAACCCAATAGTTCTTTTTTTTTCTTTTTAAGAACATTTTATTGTTGCTCCAATTTGCATTTTCCTGTTGCTGTGTCTGTAACACTTTGTTGTATCTGTTTACTGACTGTGTGCCAGGAGGGCCATCTCTTTTGTCCTAGGAGTCTAGATTTTGGTTGTTTGGAGTAATGTTTGCTAAATGCAGAAATGAATGGCTTAATTCTGAAAGTCTGGTTCATGTGGACCAGAATTTTCTTTGGTCTGGAGGGCAGATGTTAAGCTGTTCCCTTCTCTCCCCACCCAGTCCCGGCTTCTGCTTCTCCATCCACAAAAAAGGATAAACTAGATAGCCCTCGTAGCTTCTTCCAACTCAGACATGATGGCTATGGATTCTAAGTCTCTTATGACAAGAGCATCCAGGTTGGACATGGGCTCCCTCGAAGATTAGTCCTGTGGCTTATTTGCTGGGCGACTTGGGGCAAGTCACTTAACCTGTGTGCCTCAGTTTCTCACTTGATAAATGCCTCCTTTCCTGTTCAGGGGCAATTGAGAGAGAGAGAGAGACAGAGAGAGAGAGAGTTCCTCTGTACAAGGGTCTTCAACTCAGAAATCTCCAATCCCAGGCAGGGAGGGGCCTGTTGGGTGCTGGGGATGTGATAGGGAGGGGTGAGGACAGTAGCAAATGGAGAAACACATATCCTGGGCAGCCTGGGTGGCGCAGCGGTTTAGTGCCGCCTGCAGCCCAGGGCGTGATCCTGGAGACCCTGGATCGAGTCCCATGTCGGGCTCCCTGCATGGAGGCTGCTTCTCCCTCTGCCTGTGTCTCTGCCTCTCTCTCTCTCTCTGTGTCTCTCATGAATAAATAAAATCTTAAAAAAAAAAAAAAGAAAGACATATCCTCTGTAGAGGACACGTTGAGTCAACTCCGGGTAGCAGAAACGCAGCCCCTACTTTGAGACCCTCTGTGGGCTCGAATGACGTCATCTTGACAAGACTCAAGAATTGTGAGACCTCAGCTAAGATGCCATGTTGTGTTGGATGTCAGAAGACTCGAGTCCACATCCCAGCTGGCTTACTCCTCAGCGAGACTGCTTGCTTTGCTGCCCCAGGCCTGCTTCTTTTCTTTTCTTTTTTTTTTTTTTAAGATTTTATTTATTTATTCATGAGATACAGAGAGAGAGAGAGAGAGAGGCAGAGACACAGGCAGAGGGAGAAGCAGGCTCCATGCAGGGAGCCCGACATGGGACTTGATCCCGGGTCTCCAGGATCATGCCCTGGGCTGAAGGCGGCACTAAACCGCTGAGCCACCCGGGCTGCCTCCCCTTTTTTTTTCCAGGCTCGCTTCTTTTACCCATTTGGTACAATTGAGCCTCGGCGGCTGGAAAGTGTATGACACAGAGTCCAAATGCAATTTGGGAGGATTCATCTCCTGTGTCTGAGGCTCCATCCTTCCTCCCCATGCTGTTCCCTCGCCCTGGGGACAGCTGGGGGTGAGGATGGTGAAATGAAGCTTAATGAGTAACCTATGAGACTGGCCAGGGTGAGTGTTTGGCCACCATAAGCGTCAGGGACAGGGGCTGGCTGACGAACATAGCTCTGGGATCTGGGATGGGATGGGTCAGTGACCTGGGCCACCTCTCTAGTCTTATCTGCTCTCTGATGGAGACATCCTGGCATCCTCACCTCAGGCTCTTCCAAGTCAGGTGCTCTGGAGCTTGGCCCCTCCACTTCTAAGCTCTGGCTCTGCCACTGCGATGGGACCTTGGGAAAGTGACTTGGCCTTTCTGAGCTAAGTCTGATTCCCCAAAAGAGGGTTTGTTACAACATACGTCTCTCCAAGGTGTTGCAAGCCTTCTGTGATATGATGATGTCATGTTCCCAAACTTCGAACATTCATTGCCACCTTTGCAATTTCTACCATATTGTGGTGTCACCTCTTATAAATACACCAATACCAACAATAGCATCGAACACAGAGCACTTTCTACTGTTCTAAATATTTTATATATATTAACTCATTTGATCCTCACAAATGAGTTGCCCACTAGAGAAGTTGTAGTCTATCCACATCTTACAGTTGAGGAAACAAGGCACAGAGAGGTTAAGGGATTTACCCAAGTTTACCCAGCGGGTAAGTGGCAGAGCTGTGTTTTGTGCCAGACCCCGGCTCCATGGTCTGTGCTCTGTGAGGCACCCTGCTTCTTCATCCAGAAACTAGTGCCACTGCTATGGCTACTACTGAATATTAAAAACAAAAAAACAATGGATTGCATTTTAAGCATCGATTCCTGCCTTGGCTTCTTCCTAAGCAAGACTATCTGTGAAATCATGGATTTGGTATTGTGTACAGTTGACCCTTGAACCATATGGAAGTTAAGGGTGCTGTCCCACCTCATGAAGTCAAAAATCTGTGGATAACTTCTGACTCCTTCAAAACTTAACTACTAAAAGCCTATTGTGGACCAGAAAGTTTACCAATAACAGGAAGTTGATTAACGTGCATTTTGTGGGCTCTATGCATTTTATACTGAATTCTTAAAATCAAGTAAGATAGAGAAAATACTAAGAAAATCATAAGGAAAATATATTTAAAATACATTTACAATAAAAATACATTTACTGTCCTGTGTTGTAAAAAATCCACATATAAATGGAACTGCGCCATTCAAATCCGTGTTGTTCAAGGGCTGTCATGTTTCTTGTCCAAGTCTAAGCTGTGTGCTAAGGCCCCACTCCTCCAGGAAGCCCCCTGATTCCACTCCAACCCAGCTGCCCTATGACGATCTTCTGCTCTCTGTCTTCCTGGGGGTGGTAAAATTGTCAGTGCATTGGATGGTTTCCTCTCCCCCTAATCCAGGGGCCACCCCAGGACACAAACTCGGTTTTGCCACCTTTGTCCCCAGGGCCCAGTCCAGGACAGGACGCTTGACAAGGATGGGTACATGTTTAATGGGAGGATGGTGATGAAGCTTCCAGAGTCCTCATCGAGGATCATGGCCAAGCTGCTTGACTTGACCTCAAGCATCCAGGAGTTAATCATCAAGCCTGGGAAGGTCACACACAGTCCTAGAAGGGCAAAGAACATCTAAGCTGCCAGGTCTTTCCTGGAACTCACCTCCCATTTCGTAGAGAGGAAACGTGAGGCTCAGAGATGGATGTGACAAGCTCAGTTTCACCCAGTGAGATGGTGACAGTATAAATCTGATCATGTTATTCCTCTGCCTACAGCCTTCTATGGTTCCTTAGTATTCCTGGGTAAGGTCCAGGAATGGCACAGGCGTCCCTGCAGAGTCTGGTCCTGGCCCATATTCCCAGCCCCAAACCTGCTTTCCCAGCGTTCTGGGGTCAGGCAAGTGTAAGTTACCTGCTCTGAGTGTCCACAGCCCTGTCCCACCTCTGCCTCACAATATCTGAGAGCACCGATTGCAACTGCTCTTTGGCGGCCCCTTGGGACTTCATGAGAGCAGGGGACATGCTATAGTGTTTGAGGCTAAAGTCCCAGGGCTCAACACATAGTAGGTGTTCAATAAATATTTGTTGAATGAATGAACAATCAGAGCCCTTCATTTGAACGACAAATCATTGTTTGGATTCCTTTGTTGGATGTGAAATATCAGGGGTGAGGAGGTGCTTCAGAAAAATTATGCCTTTTCATGTGGCAGATAACAATTGTTTCTTTGTCTTTTGACCTAAGCTGACTCTGACAGCAGTGGGGGTGGTGGCCTGGCACTCAGCGCAAACACTGGACTCAGAGTAAAATCTGGATGTGTCCGTGTCACAGAAGAGGTGGTCCAGGGTGTCTCTCGCTGGCTGGGTGACCTCGGCCCAGTGAGTCTCCCTGCTGGAGCCTGTATCATCAATGAGACCAAGGACAGCGCAGGGGGAGGCAGTGGACCCTGGTCTTGTTCCTTTCTTCCCCCAGCGGGGCACTGTCCCTTTAACGTGGGAGGAGGGGCCAAGGCTGCGGGAAGTTGCCAGAAGCTGGGAAGAGCTGGTGCCCTCGCAGGCTGCAGGCTGGTGGGCAGCAGGCTGGAGCCCGGCTGGGTCTGGGCACTGTTCAGCAGGCAGGTAAGAGGGCCTGACACCCAAATGGTACCCCTGGGGCTCTGTGTGCGTTTGTGGAATGTGAACACAGGGTAGTCTGGAAGGTTCTGGGGCAAAATCCAGAATGAGTGGACAGAAAGTGAGGAGGTATGGGTGCAAAGCCCTCCTAGGAACACTGATTTCACTCAGGGTTTCACTCTAGCCTGCCTTGGAGAAGAAGGCTGGGGGTGCCACAGACTGATGGCTGGGGAGCAGGTCCTGCTTGCCAGAGAGGCAGGACTGGGCACTCTGCCAGCGCGAGTTTCCTGGCCTTGGCATCAGGGATTTGGCTGTAAGGGTTACCCAGGTGGCCTCTGGAAAAGCCTGAGGGACAAAGGAGGCAGAAACAGGAAATGGTCCTTACCCCAATTCACAGATGCAGCAGGTGAAGCCCAGTGAGGAAAGGTGGCATGGCCAAGGTCGTGCCTGCTGGGACCTGAACCCAGGCCTCAGGCTTTTCACGGCATTGCTCCACAGCAGAGAGGGCCCAGGGCTCCCACCTCAGCACCCGTGGTGGCCACATGCTGCAAGAGCTGTGTGTCCCTAGGCCAAGGTCTCACCTTGACTCTAGACCTTAGTCTGGGAGGCCTGTGCCCTTATGGGCATCTGGGCTAGATAAGGGCTATTGGAAGTTTGGGGCCGGTTCATATGACGGGCCAGCTGTCCTCCTGTGGGCTGTTAGGATAAGCAGGAGGCCTGGGGAGCCTTGGGACTGAGGCGGGAGCATTTGGCTCCTAAGGACACCTGGCAGTTAAGTGTGAAATGCTCACGCCTTTCACCACTACCACCACCACCGTCATTATCATCACCTAGTAGAGAAAGTATGGCACGGAGCTAAGGGCACAGATGCCAAAGTCCACTGCCTGAATTTGAATCCTGGCCGTGCCATTCCCAGCTGTGTCACCTCGGACAGGTTACTTAACCTCTCTGGCCTCAGTTTCATTATCTATAAAATGGAGCTAGTAAGTGAACCTGTCTCAGGACCGTTACGATGATCTTAGGAGATGGTATATGTGCCAATGATCTTGGCACAGAGCCTGGCTGGCAGGAGGTCCCACACAACTATTAGCTAATATTATATGTCAGGCATGGAGTTGATGGCTTCACAATATGGCCTCACTGCGTCCACACAGTGATTCCGTGATGTAGAAGCTCTTCTCCTAGTGTGCTGCGTGGTTAGTTCATTCTTATTTTTCAGGTCTCGGTGTTAATGGTCACTTCCTGCAAAAGGCCTTTCGTGACCTCTCTATCCGCAGTAGGTGTCCTTGTTCTTCTCTTTAAGACTCCCTGTATGTGTGCGTTCCTCTTGGTAGTTTTCACCATTTTTGATTATTTTGTTTGTCTATATGGTTATTTATCAAACACTGATCTGCACATCAGCTCCACGAGGAGATGTCTGTCTTCCTCACCAGGGTAACCCCAGTTCCCAGGTCAGGGCCTGCGCCTTGCAGGTGCCCTGTAGACATGCGAGAGAAGGGGTAAGCACGCCCGCATAGTTAGATGGCCCCAGAGAGATGATGCCTCTAGAGCGCTCAGCTGATGTCTGACGTACAGTAGGGCAGGAGGGAACATGGCACAGAGAAATCGAGATGCTTGTTGGGGTCACACAGCGAGGAATACAGAGCTGGTTTCTAACTTTGGTCACTGATTGACCCCTACACCCGGAGCCAAGGTGAGGCCCAGGCTGAGGTCTGCTGAGTTTGGGTGACCCACAGGTTCCCTCTCCAATGCCATGCTCAGTTTGAGAAGTGCCCTGATGGAACCGGGTGGAGACTCTGGCTCAGACTCTGCCCTGCCTGGGGGATCCCAGGGCCATCCCAACAAGGGCCTGGGGTCAAATCTAGGGGCAGGAGACCTAGAACCCTCTGGTGGGTTGGGCAGCTGGGAGTAAGTAAGGGTGAGCAGGAAGCTTGGGCCCATGGAGGATGGGGAGGCTGCAGCACGCCTCCTACTGGCCATCAGTGAAACTGCAGGGCTTGGCCCAATGCTTTTCTGACGCAAAGAAAAAAAAAGGGGTTTGCATTTGCTCCTTAAAAAAAAGAAAAAAAGACAAACAGCCCTCTATTTCTCCACTCTTCTCATTTCTTCCTCTTCTGTTTCTCACCTTTTACCACCGATTCGTTCACTAACTGTGCCTTTGCTTAAAACCTCCCAATGGCTTCCCAGGACAAGTAGCATTAGAATAACATCCCAGCTCCTCAGCGTGGCACGTCCTTCCCCACGTCCCTGCCCACCTCTCCTTGCTCAGCTCCTACACCGGATCCCTTCTCCCCACACCAGCAACGCCCCAGGGTCATTTCTCTCTCAAGGTGTTTCCACCTGCTGTTCCTTCTGCAGGAATGCGTTCCCCTGGGGTCCCTGCTGTCACTCATCTCAAACATCTCTCTTGGAGAACTTGCAGATGGAAAGAGAATTCAAAGCCCTCTCAGCCAATCCAATACTCACAGATCTGATTTGCATCCTGATTCAAACTGTTAGAAACCCCAAATCACTGACAGCAAAACCGTTTATCCCATTTAATGAGATGATTGGAAAGGTGAGCAATTATGTGACGATATTGAGAGATGATTATTAATGTTTTTAGATGTGATAATGGTATTGTGATGATGTGTTTTTTTTTAAATTAGCATCATTGAGATATGGTTTCTATAAAATAAAATTAGCCAGGGATGCCTGAGTGACTAAGTCAGTTAAGTATCTAACTCTTGGTTTCGGCTCAGGTCATGATCTCAGGGTTGTGAGATGGAGGCCCCCATTGGGCTCCATGCTGGACATGGAGCCTGCTTAAGATTCTCTCTCTCCCTCTGCCTCAGCTTCTCCCCCACATGCTCCCTCTCAAAAAAAAATCAGTCCACTTTGAGTAAGAATTCCGTGAGTTTGCACAAATGTATACAGTTATGAATCCATATGGCTACTGTTTAAAAAAAGTTCTTAAGGGACGCCTGGGTGGTTCAGCAGTTGAACGTCTGCCTTTGGCTCAGGGTGTGATCCCGGGATCCAGGATCGAGTCTCCCGTCAGGCTCCCTGCATGGAGCCTGCTTCTCCCTCTGCCTGTGACTCTGCTTCTCTCTCTGTGTGTCTCTCACGAATAAATAAATAAAATATTTAAAATAAAGAAATAAATCTAGTTTTTAAAAAAGAGTGCTTTTAGAGATCTGTGCTGAAGTATTTACAAAGGAAGTAGCATAGAAAAGATATATAATAAGAATAAAGGACGAGGGGCACCTGAGTGGCTCAGTTTGTTAAGTGTCTGCCTTTTTAGCTCAGGCCAAGATCCCTGCGTTCCCATATCTAGCCCTGCCACATCAAGCTCCTTGCTCAGTGGGCAATATGCTTCTCCCTTTCTCTCTGCTCCTTCCCCTACTCATTTTTTCTCTCTTGCTCCCTCTCTTTCTCCCTCGCTCTCTCAAATAAATAAAAAATCTTGGGCAGCCCGGGTGGCTCCGGTTTAGTGCCGCCTTCAGCCCAGGGCCCGATCCTGGAGTCCTGGGATCAAGTCCGAAGTCGGGCTCCCTCTATGGAGCCTGCTTCTCCCTCTGCCTGTGTCTCTGCCTCTCTGTGTGTGTGTGTGTGTCTCTCATGAATAAATAAATAAAATCTTTAAAAAAAAATCTTAAAAAAAATAAAGGAGGAAAAACCGCATAGTACAGGGTGGGGGTGGGGGTGTGCAGGTGTGGTTGAAACAAGACAGGCCACGAGTGCTCGCTCAAGCTGAGAGATGGGCTACACCAGGGGTTCATTATACAGTTCTCGACATTTTGCTATGTTTAAATTCTCCATAATACAAGTTTTTAAAAAGTTTTTCTCTCTTGAGAGACTATTTCTGACCATGCTTGCTGAAATACTGCCTCCCACCCCCTTTGCCCATTTGAAATTTTGTGCTTCTGTCTCCCCTACTAGAATGTGAGCTCTGGCAAAGCAGGGGCTGCCTCTGACTTGTGCGCTCCAAAACCTGGAACCACCTGGCACATAGTAGGTGCTCAATGAAAAGAGGTGGTTTTTTTTTGCATGCATACCTGAATGAATGAAGAATGAATGAATGAATGAATTTTCCCACATCATTCATTCATCACCATGTATTGGCCACCTTCTACACCCCCAGCACTGTGGGCTGGCACAGTTACAGAATGAAAGGGTCCCTGGTCCAAACCTTTTTGTCCAGGTGGGGAAACAGGCCGTGGCAGCTGGATAGGGCTAAGGAGCCTAATGGAGGCTCTTCTCCACGTTCCCCTCCTCCTGGTTAAGGGGACTCTGGCCGGAGCTGCCTGGGCTATGGCATTGGTGTTCTCCCGCAGGCCCCCTGGGGGTTGCTGGGATGGATCACTCTCGAACAGGCTGTGCTAAGGCTGAGCACTTCCACGTGGTCACACCTCTGCTGGAGAGCTGGGCGCTTTCCCAGGTGGCAGGTGTGACTGTCTTCCTCAAGTGCGAGAATGTGCAGCCAGCCGGCTCCTTCAAGATCCGGGGCATTGGGCATTTCTGCCAGGAGGTGAGGTGTCAGCAGGAGGGGAGAAGTGAGCCAGTTCTGGGGGGAGGAGAGGGATGGGGATGGTTGCCCGCTGGATGGGGGTGAGGGCAGGAGGGGAGAAATGGACTCATACAGATGGGAGGAGCAGGATGAGGAGCAAGGAGTGTTGGAGTGGGCTGGGGAGGGACTAACTCCATCCCACACTGGGTCTATGACATCTGCCTGGGTCAGCCCCCAACCTCATTCCTTCTTTCCCCAGGTGGCCAAGAAGGGATGCAGACACCTGGTGTGTTCCTCAGGTGAGCCTTGGGGCTGGGTCCTCAGGGGTGAATGTAGGGGAGGAAGAGATGGCTGGAGCAGCAGTTGATGTCCAGGGATCAGCCTCCTGTTAAAGGCCGAGTTCCATCAAGGTCATGATCAGATGGCCATTTCATATATCCCCTCCCAGCCCTCTTCCCGTCATTCAGGACTCACGGTAGAAGTGACAACAATCCAATTAATACAGGTTTAGGCTACAGGCCCCAAGAACTGAAAAATTCTTGGGATAAGTGGCTTTCAGGTACAGCTGGAACCAGGAGCTCTCCTTTGTATCTCTCCTTCTCTCAACTTGTCTTTCCTCTGTATTAGCTTCATTTTCACCCAGACTTCATAGCAGCAAGATGGCCAACAGGTGTTCTAGGCTTGCCTCCTATCATCCTATCAGCCCTGGTGAAAAGGAAGTACCCCTTCTTGATGGTTCTCCCCAATCCATGACTCGGTCTTCTTTACCTAGCTTGGATCATGTACTCATCCCTGAACCAATCATAGGTTAGGGGATTGAGGTCTCTGATTGAGTTAATCTAGGTCATGTATCTACCTCTGGGATCAGAAAGAGGACTCAAAGGTGGGGCATATGAGTGTGGGGAAGGAATGGCCTACAAAGGGAAATGGAGGGGGAGGGAGGAAATTGGGTTAACAGGCTAAAACAACACTGCCCACTGCACTCCCTTCTATTGCTTCCACAGGGGGCAACGCAGGCATTGCAGCTGCTTATGCTGCTCGGAAGCTGGGCATCCCTGCCACCATTGTGCTCCCTGAGGGCACCTCCCCGCAGGTGGTGAAGAGGCTGCAGGGGGAGGGGGCAGAGGTTCAGCTGACTGGAAAGGTAAGGACCCCAGGAAGGAGAAGCCAGCTGGAGTGGGCTGTTCCCCTTGAATCCCATTTACCCCTAGGAGATGGTATCTCTCTGCTTTTTTTTCTTTCGTTTTTGATGTACTATGCCTGGAGCCCAGTCTTCTCTTAGGATGGCTGAGCTGAGGGGTAGGAGTGAGGCATGATGTATTTTGAGGGCTGGGACCCCCTGCCTCTACCAACCCTGAGAAGACTTCCCCTGTGTGAACCCAGGAGAAGCAGGAAGCTGATAGACCAGGAGTATGTCCGTCTCCTCATATCCTCACTAACATTTGGTAATATTCATTTAAACATTTTTGCCATTTGATAAGACAAAAAAGTATAAAGAAAGAGGATGGTGGCGTTATTTCTTGTTCTGAGACCACCCTAATAAGGGGCCCACCGCCAAGGATATCACTGATTCACCCTGTTACTGAAGAAACAGAGATACAAACATGTAATCCTCCTACCTTCCTGGAAAGAAGGGGAGAAAGCATCCCTAGAAAAGAGATTTTTTTTTAAACCATCAAAATTAAAACTAAAAGCCATACCATGGTACCTAAAAAGCTGGTCGCCAAATACTTAGTGTCTAGTTTCTTTCCTTGCTTTCTCCCTTCTTTCTCTCTTTTTTTTAAGAAAAATTATTTATTTATTCATGAGACTCACAGAGAAAGGCAGAGACATAGATAGAGGGAGAAGCAGGCTCCATGTGGGGAGCCCAGTGCAGGACTTAATCCCAGGACCCCAGGATCATGACCTGAGCCGAAGGCAGACACTCAACCACTGAGCAACCCAGGTGCCCCTTTTTTCTTCTCTTTATTCATCCATTCAACCATCTTCCTATCCAGCACTCTCTCTCCCTGCCTTTCTCCCTCCCTCCATCCATCCATCCATCCATCCATCCATCCATCCATCCATGCATCCATTCCCCATCAGCTTTTTCCCTCCTTCACTTCCTTCCTTCTTCCTTTCCTTCCTTCCAACAGATATTCATTGAACTCATACTATGTGTCTGGACTATGTTAAAGCAAGGGATATAGAGGTAGTAAGACATGGTCTCTACTCTCACAAAGCTCAGGCATTGTTGGGGAGACACACAGATAACCACATGGTGATAAAAGAAAGTTGTAAGTATTGTGATGGGGAAGCACAGGGCCCTGAGGAAGAACAGAGAAGGCATATTGTTTTAATCAGCTCTTGCTGCTAGATAATGCTACATAACACACAGCCCCCACCTCTCATTGGCTTATGAGAAACGCGATCTCTCTTGCTTCTGGGCTTGTGAGTGGGCTAGGGTGGTTCTGTGTCAGGCTACAGGCAGGATTAAGATCTGCATATGTGTCCCCCTCATCGTTCTGGACTGGTGGCCACCTGGGACATGTTCTGCTCAAGGTGAATGGCAGGAGGAGTGAGAAGAAAGTGCCTCTTGAGGCAGTGGCTCAGAAGTGTTACATGTCACTTCTACCGCCTGCCATTGGCCACAGCAAGTCCCACAGCTGGGACCTACATCAATGGGGGTGGGGAAATGTACTCTGCCCTTTCTAGTGGGAAGAACAGCAGTAACATGACAAAAGCCACGGATGTGTGATTCTAATGGAGGAAGGGGGTAGGGAACTGGGCAGTGGCCCAAACCACCCCCAGGTTGTGCCTCAGACCCGGGCCTCTCTGGCTGCTTGAACTCAACCGGCAGGTCATCAGTAGGATGGTTGCTGGTTTTCATGGACACCATCTATAGTGGCCAGGTTGCTATTTGGGGCTCTGATTTAAGGGGCCTTCTGCCCTACTGGCTGACTAGAAGTGGAAACCACTTAGCTGGCCTTGGAGCTCACCCTCCCCCACAGACTGGCCCATTGGGATTATGGAAAGCACATATCATCAGTTTATCCACCCGGAAGCCTCCACTTTTGTCTCAGGAGGCTGTGAGGCCCACCCCAGCTCTGATCTCACCGTTGGAGTTCTCCTCAGCTGGCCAGACCCTGGGGCTATCCAGGAGACTTCAGGCTCTGCTCCAGGCTCCAGAGCAGTCCAATTCCTGAGGCTCCTGAGACCCTCTGTTTCTCTTTAGGTTTGGGATGAGGCCAGTCTGAAGGCACAAGAGTTGGCCAAGAGGGATGGTTGGGTGAATGTCCATCCATTTGACCACCGTCTGATCTGGTAAGGTTATTGCTCCGCCCCCATGGAGCTCAGAGCCCAAACCCTCATTGAGTTGAGATCCTTCCATTGGACAGAAAGGGATGCTGAGGCCTAGAGAGGAGAGGAGGCTTGGAAGCCAGGCATGCTGAGATTCAGACCCTACTTCTGTTATTTGTGAATTGTGTGATTGCAAAGCCTCTCTCCTCCCCATGCCTCAGTTTCCACATGTGTAGAATGGAAATGGTAATAATCAATCCTGTTTATTGAGTGTACTTGGGGATACATTTAATACATTTGATCCTCTTCAGAGCTCTAGAGGTGGGTGTTTTATGTCCATTTCACAGGCACAGAGGGGCCAAGGAACTTGCCTGACATTGCACAGCTAGTAAGTGGCCAAGACATTGGGTCCCAGGCCCAGAACTAGACTGGCACCAAGTGATATGCTGGTCCCCTCTTAAGCACATATACAAATGCTGCCTCTTTACAAGGTTGTGGAGGGGATTAAATAGGATAATGTCTGAGAACATGGCTTTGAGGTTGATGGCGTGGAAAGAATGAGTGAATGAGTAAATTGAATGGATGAAAGCTGAGTGAGCTAAGTGTTGCAGGGTCTCTGCTCTCCCTTGCTATGGATAGGAATTGGGGTGACAACGAGGAGAGTTTGTGTATATGTCAGCCTTTGGGAATAGGGCCCTTTCTTACCCTGCTTCCTCCTTCCCCCAGGGAAGGCCATGCCAGCTTGGTGCAAGAGCTGAAGGCAGCACTGGGGACTCCACCAGGGGCCCTGGTGCTGGCAGTAGGGGGTGGAGGGCTCCTGGCTGGGGTGTCAGCTGGCCTGGCAGAGGTGGGCTGGCAGCACGTGCCCATCATTGCTGTGGAGACCCGAGGGGCACACTGTTTCAATGCAGCCATCAAGGCGGGCAGGCTAGTCACGCTGCCAGAAATCACCAGGTAGGCATGGGCTGGGGCCATCTGTGGGAGGCTGGAAGGTGGGGGTGTTGCTATCCTAGAAGCTCTCAGTCCCAACCAGTGGAGGAGTTCGGGGGTACCCAAGAGGTTCAACTTCACCCTGAGTTCCACCCTAATGTGGATTTCAGTTAGAAGGCGATTCCAAAAAAGTAGACGAAGGATATGATTCATTTAAGTTTCATTAATTAATAAAACACATGGGACTCCTGGGTGGCTCAGTGGTTGAGCAACTTCCTTCAGCCTAGGGCATGATCCTAGAGTCCCCAGATCAAGTCCTGCATCAGGCTCCTGAGGGGATCCTGCTTCTCCCTCTGCCTATGTCTCTGCCTCTCTCTCTATGTCTTTCATGAATAAATAAATAAAATCTTTTAAAAAATTAATAAACATTTCATTGCTCTATATCATTACAAAAGCAGTTTAAATGTGTTGCAGATAAGTTAGAAAATGTAGGCAAGCAATAAACAACAGAAAACAAAATGGCACCCTCAATTCCACCATCCAACAATGAACACTAGGTTACATTTTCCCAGTTTTTGTTTGTCCTCCGTGTACACATAGTTACAAGTGAAATGTGCCTGGCACACAGTAGGTGCTCTACAAATATTTGTGAAATGAATGAATGAATTGATCATGTATTTTTAAAGTTAGGATCGTACCCTTCCTAAACTCTGTTTTTCTAGTTCATATTATATGTCATGAACAGTTTCATTTTTTCTGCAATATCGTTAGAGAACTTTTTCCTTGTTGCTTTATGTAACTGATTTTAAATTTTTTTTTATTTTATTTACGATAGTCATACAGAGAGAGAGAGAGGCAGAGACACAGGCAGAGGGAGAAGCAGGCTCCATGCACCGGGAGCCTGACGTGGGATTTGATCCCGGGTCTCCAGGATTGCGCCCTGGGCCAAAGGCAGGCGCCAAATCGCTGCGCCACCCAGGGATCCCTGTAACTGATTTTAAATCAAATGAGGAAAAGTTCTTATGAACCAACTAACTAGTTAATGGAGAGTGGTCCAGCCTCCAGACCCTGCCTCATCTTATATCCTTCTTTTCCTGTTTTTTTAAGATTTTATTTGTTTATTTATGAAAGACACACACACACAGAGGCAGAGACATAGGCAGATGGAGAAGCAGGCTCTCTGCAAGAAGCCTGATGTGGGACTCGATCCCAGGACTCTGCAATCACATCTTGTGCCAAAGGCAGATGCTCAACTGCTAAGCCACCCAGGCGTCCCATCTTATATCCTTCATCACCATCACCAGTATCATCCTCACAGATGCTGTGTTAATTACCTATAGGGCTGCCATAAAAATGACCACAAACTATGTGGCTTAAAAGATCAGAAATGCATTCTGTCATAAGCCTGGAAGCCAAAAGTGTGAAATCAAAGTGCTAGTAGGGTGACACTTTCTCTGAAGGCCCTAGGGGAGGAGCATGCTTCCTTGCCTCTTTCAGCTTCTGGTGGCTATTGGCAATCCTTGGTGTTCCTTGGCTTGTAGCCACCTCCTTCTGCCTCTGTCTTCAATGACCTCTCTGTGGTCTGTCCTCTTTTTGTAAGGGCACAGTCATTGAATTTAGGGTCCACCTTAATCCAGTATGACCTTATCTTGACTAATTACATCTGCAAAGATCCTATTTCCAAATTAGGTCACATTCTGAGGTTCTATATGGATTTGAATTTTAGGGGAGACAATATTCAACCCTCTATAGATATCAGCACTGCCCATATTTTATTAAACACTTATTAGGTGCTGGACCATCGGATATAATAGTGTGTGACAACAAGGTGGCTGAAAAAGACAGCCTATTAAGTCATCTTTATTAAGCACCTACTGTGTACAGGGTTCTGGCTGACCAATTAGAGAAACAGTCCTTTCTTCAAGGAGAATTCTATCTGGATATATGAATCTCCTTAATGTCTTTCTGGTATTATCTTCACTCCTTTCTGGTGCCACCCATCCTCCAATGTCTCTGTGATGACCTTTCCTGAAGATTATTTGTGCCCCTAACTGTTGAGCCTTTCCTGTCCCTTCCATCTGAAATACCAGCCCCTCTCACATTGATGAAATTCCCCAAGGCCCAGCTGGGCAGTTGACTCCTATCGTAAAGACCCCAAAGATACTCTGTGTCACTCTTTGGCTGTGAAAGAGCTTGTGGATGGGCTGGTTTGTGAAGGAGGGGCTTGAGGATGGGGACTGACTTTTCAGCTCTGAGTCCCTAGCACCTCTCTCAGAGCCTGGCACGGTGGAGCACTAAGTGAAGTCTATGGACTTGCCATTTTTGTAAATGGCACCACCGTCCATCCTGCTGCTCTGACCTGACACATCTTACAGTCACCTTGCTGAGTTCTATCCACTCTCCCTCAGGACTCCAGCTCCTGTCCAGCCCTTGTGCCCACCCCAGTGTATCAGCTCTCCCCTGGATGGCTGTCATAGTCCTCCTCCATCCCCTGGCTATGCTTGATGCTCTTCTTTTTGATAACAGCTTTATTGAGATATATTCCATGTATCACGCAATTCATCCACTTCAAGTGTATAGTTCAGTGATTTTAAGTATATTCAGAGTAGTGCCTCCATCGCCAAAATCACTTTTAGAACATTTTCATCACCCCTCGCCGAGTCCCTCCTCCCTCCAGTCCCTGGCAAATACTGATCTACTTTCTATCTCTACAGATTTGCCTGTTTGGGACATTTCACTTGGGTGAGGTCATATGACACGTGGCCTTTTGTGTCTGGCTTCTTTCATGCAGCCTTCTGTCTTTAGGCCTCACCCATGTTCTGATCAGTACTTCATTCCTTTTTATGGCCAAATACTACTCCATTATGGGGCTGGACCGCATCTTGTTTATCCATCCCTTGGGTGCAGGGTGTTGGGGCTGTTTCTTTTTGGGGCTATGATGAGTAGAGCTGCTACAAACACTTGCATGGGCATTTGCATGTGAACGAATGTGTCCGTGTCTCTGGGGTGTGACCCTAGCAGTGATATTGCTGAGTGTCTTTGTTGTTTTGAGTCCTTTGTCTACTGCCAGCAGCAATGTGTCCTTCCTTCGCTGTTGACCCGTTGGACTCTTCACCACTTCTCCCGCTTATGCCCGCCAATGCCCTCCCCAGACTCTTGGGCCCAAATCCAGACTCCTCTTAGCCCCACTCCAGCCACCGGCCTGTCTTCCAGCCCCTTGGATGAGTCACAACCTTTCCTACCACCAGGAAAGGCAAGCTTTCTGTGCAGGCTGTTTCTTCTGCCTGGAACGTTCTTTCCCCTTTCCTTCTGTCCTCTGGATTGGGATTTCTCACTCCAGAGATTGTCCCCACAACCTTACCCAGTGGTCTCCTTCTACTTACCTACTTAATTCTATGTTTCCCCTCCCAGCCTTTGTTCTTATTTATTTATTTATAGTTGAAGTCTATAGTCAACCTATAATATTATATTCATTTCAGACGTACCATATAGGGATCCGGGAATCTTATACTTTCTGTTGTGCTCACCACCATAAGTGGAGTCACTGCCTGTCACCACACAAAGCTGTGATCATACCATTGACTATTCCCTGAGCTGTGCTTTTCATCCCCATGGCTTATTATAACTGGAAATTTGTTTCCTCTTCAACCTGTTCACCTGTTTCGCCCAGCCTCCCGGCTCCCTTCCCTTTGGCAACCACTAGTGGTTTCTCTGTAGAGGTTTTTCTCCTTCCTTCCTTCCTTCCTTCCTTCCTTCCTTCCTTCCTTCCTTCCTTCCTTCCTCTCTCTCTCTTTCTTTCTTTCTTTCTTTCTTTCTTTCTTTTCTTTCTTTCTTTCTTTCTTTCTTTCTTCTCCTCCTCCTCCTCCTCCTCCTCCTCCTCCTCCTCCTCTCTAGTTTTGAGTCTGTTCTTCTCTTGCTGTTGTTGGCTTTGTTCTTAATACATGGTTGGCTTTGTTCTTACAGCCATGGTAGTAGCCACCACTGACCCTTCTGTAGAGCTTACTAAGTGTCAGGCTCTCTTCTAAGCATTTACAATGTTTAACTCAACCCCCAGGACACTCCCATGAGCCAGGGACTGCTGTTACCTCCGTTTTTCAGACTGAGGAAGCTGAGGCTCAGGGGAGGTGCAGTGACCTTCCCACGGTCCCACTGCTAGTGGGGGGGCCCAGGTTTGAGACCAGACAGCCTGGCTCCTGAGTCTGTGCTCTGGGCCCCTTGGGGCTCACCAGAAGCTCTCCTGAGCCTGAAATACTGCCCAGCTCAGGAAGGTACCAACAGGTGGGCAATCCCAAGCACAGAGATACACAGCATGGACCATGGAGCCAGACTGCCTGGATTTGAATCCACCTTCTGTTACTGACTAACTGTGTGTCTGAGCCAGTTTCTTAACCTCCCTGAGCTTCTCAGTTTTCCCACTTGTAAAATGGAGCCCATAAATTTCTAACTCAAAGGGGGATTATGAGGATTAAAACAGAAAACATGTGCATCTATCACCTGGTAGATGCTCAATAAATATGTTATCAGACATGATAAATTCTTATTAATGAATAAGATACAAAACAAAGCCATTTCCTTTTTTAAAGATTTTATTTATTTATTCACGAGACACAGAGAGAGAGGCAGAGACACAGGCAGAGGGAGAAGCAGGTTCCATGCAAGGAGCCCAATGTGGGACTCAAACCCAGGACCCCAGGATCATGCCCTGAGCCAGAGGCAGATGCTCAAACACTGGGCCACCCAGGTGTCCAAAAAATCCATTTCCACACTTGGCTTTCTGGGGCCTGTGCAAGGAAGGGCACAATCATGGTTATGGAGTTGGAGGAAGTGGGGCTCATGTGTCCATCATTGGTGGGACATCCAATTTTGGAGCACCCCCTCTGTGCCAGCCCAGTACTAGCTCTTGCCGTGTTGAGCCCTGGCCCATTGCAGGATGGGAGGGGACCCTGGGGTTTGGAGGGCTGAATTTGGAGGCCCGGTGATTCACCAGCTCTGCCCCACACCCCTGCACTCCCTGCCCTGCCTGCCCTCCTCTGCAGTGTGGCCAAGAGCTTGGGTGCCAAGACCGTGGCAGCAAGGGCCCTGGAATGCACGCAGGAGCTGGAGATCATCTCTGAGGTGGTGGAGGATGTCCAGGCTGTGAGCGCTGTGCAGCGGTTCCTGGGTGAGTGACCTTGCCCTCCGTCCCCATGCTTGGGGACCTACAAAGACCCTGGGTCTCTGGGTGTTCTCTCTGGTCTGTATCCTCAGAACCTTCTGCAGGGCTGGGCGTGCAGCAATCATGCAACAAGCATACATTGAGTGGATGGCAGGGCGGAGGCAGAGTGTGCCGTGCTGTCTCTAGCCTCCAGACTTTGGCATCTGTTCCTCTTCCTGTTAGCCACCCATCCTGGACCCTGCTCCCTGTCGATTGCATGTGATTCAGGGCTACTCAGCCATCATGGCACCTCCTCCAGGTAGCCTCCTCTGATCTTTCACCCTCCTCCTGCCTTGGGTTGGAGACTTCCCATGCACCAGACCTTCTGTTCATAACTGCCTGGTTCTTATTCACCTGAGGCATTAGATGTAAACTCTGTGAGGGTAGGGCCCAGGGTGTCCTATCTACTGTTGTGACCCCAGGGCCTTCCTAGCATAGGGCCTGGCAGGGATTGGGTGCTCGATAAATATTTGTTGGATGAATACATGAATGTATGAGTGAATAGAAAGGTAGATAATGGGTGGATGGATGGATGGATGGATGGATGGATGGACGGACACATTGATTAATGGACATGTTGATGGATGGACAGACACTCAAATGATGGATAGGGGATGGGTGGGTGAATGCATGGATGGATGGATGGACGGATGGATGGATGGATGGATACAGTGATTGATGGATACACTGATGGATGGACAGACAGTCAAATGATGGATAGGGGCTGATGGATGAATGGATGGATATATAGATGGATACGTTGATTGATGGATACACTGATGGATGGACAGACAGACAGTGAAATGATGGATAGAGGAATGGATGGATGGATAGATGAAAGGTGGATGGATGGAGGGATGGATGGTCAGATTGATGGATGGAGAGAGGGTCAGACGAATGATGGATTATGAGCTGGCTGGCTGACTGGCTGGCTGGCTTCATGGATTTTCGATGCCCAGAGCCTACAGAGCACTAACTGGTTCTTTCTCCCTTTCTCTCTTCTCATCCACCCCATTCCCCTAATCCGGGCAGATGACGAGCGCATACTGGTGGAGCCTGCCTGCGGGGCAGCTTTGGCTGTCATCTACTCAGGCCTCCTGGGGAGGCTCCAGGCTGAGGGCCGCTTGCACTCCCCGCTGGCCTCGGTTGTGGTCATTGTGTGTGGAGGCAATAGCATCGATAGCGGAGGGTTACAGGCTCTGAAGGCCCAGATGAGTCAGAGCTGAGGCCTCCTCACTTGGGGTGGACACCCCTGTAGCTGGTGAGGGCAGCCTGTGTTCCTGGATGGCAGTGGAAGCTGCTCTGTGCTTCTGTGCCAGCTGCCTCCTGCAGGAAGCCCTCCTGAAATGCTCCCTTTGGCTCCCCTACAGCCCTGGCCAATAAACACTCTGAGTTGAATTTGTAATTCTAGCCGGTCCAGTCTTTCTGGGTCTACAAATGCATGGAAGGCACACAGAAACCTTGACTCTGGCTCTGCTGTGAAGTGACTCTGCATCACATAGCCTTGGCTATAAAACCGAGGAATCAAAACTTGGGTCTCTAGGAAGAGTCCAGTCGTGCTGAACTCCCGACAGGGCTTCGCTCACCTGGGGGACCCACTTGGGAGGAGAGGGTGGCATGCTGTGCAGGGATGCTCATGCTCAGGCCTGGGTGGGCAAGGACAATACCGCCCGTCTTTATCAAGCGCTTTTCATGTGCCTGGTCTTCAAGGACATTTCTACTCATTGTCTTCTTTAACGGTCACAAAAACTCTGTGAAGCAGAAACCATGATATCATTCCTGTTCTAAATATGGGGAAACTGAGGCACAGCACGGTGACCGAACCCTTTCAAGGTCAGAGCTGGCCTGTGGCCCAGCCAGGCTCAAGCCATGTGGTTTTCAGCGTGACTCTGTTTCTTGGACCTCAGCCTACTTCGTGTGCCGGTTGGTGGTGATGGGACACTGAGGAAGGGAGCAGGACCTCCAGGTCAGTTTGGACACACCTGTGAGTCACAAGGAGGGTGGGTGCTGGTCCTGGAACTGGGCACCTCCCTCCGTGGGAAGAATCTCTTAGGAAACGGAGAGGAAATTAGTCGTTTGGAGCCACCAGGGGGCAGCAAAGTGTCTCTGATGGCGAAGTCTGGCTCTGGGCAGGGGAGCCCTGCGCCACCCCTCCAGCCTCCCTTGGCTCTGCCCTTGGGGTCCCTAGCCCCTGCTGGGGGTCCCAGAGATGGCTGGGGCCTACAAGATCGTGGGATCGGGGAGCCCAATCCAAGCCTCATTGCCCTGCTGAAAACACGGCTCAGAGAGTGTGGGATCCACCCCATCACAGCCCCTGGCAGGTTCTGAGGCCTCCCGTGGGGACCCCTTTCCTGCCTCCTGCGGGCTGTGTGTGCTTGGGCTAGTGTCTTCCCTTCTCTGGGCCTCAGGCCGCACATCTGTGCTGGAGGACGCCCACTTGTGGCTTCCCACCTCCCTCCCTTTCCCCAGGCTCTTCCCCCTGCCAGGAGCCCCCTCGGTCCCTGAAGAGAATTAGAGAGCGGCAGTGACCACCCCCTGCCCCTGTCCTGTTCTCTTTGACTCCAGACGCTGCCTTGATTGCCAGTGTTGTCCTTCCAGGAGCCATCGGGCTCAGCGATGTGTCCTTGGAATCCTGCCGTGTGAGCTCCCCAGAACAGAGGGGCGCAGAGAGCCCCAGCAGTGGCCTCTGCCAGACCCGAGCATTAGAACACTGCTTCAGAGCCTCAGTGTTCTAATCTGCGAGATGGGTGGTTTGTGGATTCTTGCTCTGGACCTGGCACATTTCAATCCACGTTAGCTCTTACTATCTCCTGAGCGTTCCTCCCCAGCAACGAGGGTGGGGAGGAGCTAGAATGTATTCAAGTCTTGAGTGCCTACTGTGTACAAAGGGGCCTTAGCAGTCATTTCACTTAATACCCACCCCCCTGACCCACGTGGTGGATACTATTATATTCACCTTTACAAATGAGGCAGTTGCAGCACAGAGATGTCGAGCGCTTCCTTTGAGTCACACAGCAGGAGCGGAGCCCCGACGTGTAGGCCTCTGAGGCTCGTGAGTGGAACTGCTGCTGCTCTCACAACTCCTTTCCTTTGCTTAAGCCATGGCCCCTGCCTGCCAGGCCCTCTGTGCTCCTAAATCCTACGCATCCTTCAAAGCCCATTGTGAGGGCAGCCTCCTCCCAGAAGCCCCTCGGGATTGCTCCAGCCAGCTATGATCTCCCGCCACTCTGTGCTCCTCCAGGTGGGTGGCAGAGCTCACCCCAGTCCCAGATGCTGTGGCTCCCAGTCAGGCCTCTGCCCTTGGCCGCACTCCTGGGAGACCAGTCAGCTGCTGTTTTCTCCCCTCCTGGTCTCAGCGGAGCCGGAGATAAGAAGCCGAGGGGCCTATTGACCCCATTCAGATAACAGCCGTCAGTGACCTTGCTGTAGCCCTTGCTGGTTGACGCCCCAGGAATGCCAAGGGCAGGGCGGAGGCACGGGGAGAGGGCGAGGACGCAGGTGGCCGAAGCTGAGGCCGTGAATGCCATACCTGGATGCCGTGGCCTGGTGTAGCAGGCTGGGCGCTGGGCACAGGGACTCTCATGTTCTCTCTGCCCTTTCGGACCTTCTGTGGGAGAAACCGGGAGCCTGGAGGAGGGGCCTGGGAGCAGAAGCTTCTCTGTGTTTGTTCAGTGCTGTGCAGAGAGCCCAGCAGACTGGGCCACCAGTGTGTGCACCTGCCCTGGGTGCACCCAGCCTCTCCCCTCCCCCTTCTGGGGCCCCTGTCCTGGGATGGGGGACCCCTTGTGCTCCCTGTGGGTTTCCTCTGTGAATCCAGACAGGGCAGGTTGTGAGGAGGGGGACCAGCATCATACCACTGCTGCTCCCCCTTCTCCAGCCTCAAGAGCCCATGCAGGGCAGGACCTGTGGCCCCGTACCTGCAGACCAGGGTCTGAACCTCATGTTGTGGATGTGACAGCTGAGTCTGGCTTTGTGGTATTGATGTTGTTGGGGGGTGGGCAGTGTTTTATGAAGCCAGGAGTATGTTTTAAATCAGTGGGTTAAAAAAATTTTTTTTTAAATCAGTGGGTAGGAGCCTCTTTTGGAAGTAGCCAGTGTGAGAGATGGTTGGCATTGGTGGAAGCCAGAGACGCTGCCAGCCCTGTAAGAAGGCAGTTGCCTAATTTTCCAGGCACGCTTGGGGCCTGGGGCCAGCATCACTCTGCCTTAGAGCTTCATGCCCATCTTTCTGGGAGGCCTGGCAGGACCGTTAGCTGATGGTGAGTACATTAATGAGGCTCAGAGAGGGGCGGCTACTCACTCCAGGACACCTGGCTCCTTGCGGTGTCTGATGGGGCCCTTTGTTCTCATGAGGATGTAGAACCCACTTATTCCTAATCTCTGTCCAGCTCTTCCAGGGCTCTCTAGGGGCAGACTGGCCACTCTCATGCAAGGGGTACGGAGGATCCATCCCAGACCTGCACACCTAGTTCCATTATTTTGTGTTGCTGGTTTATTTCAGAATGAATGATTGCATGTGAGTATATCAGTTAGGATTAGGTTCAGCTCTGTAATTCAGAAAGCACAAAATAAGTGGCTTAACCAAAAGAGAAGTTTATTTCTCTTTCACGTAGAAGCCTGCAGTTAGGTAGCCCAGGGCTGGTGTACTGTCTCAGTGGTGTCAAAGACCCAAGCTCCTTTGCTGTTTGGTTGTCCAGCTGTGAATGGATTCCATTCCCATGGTCACCTCATAGTCCTGGATGGATGCTGGGGTGGGGTGCGGGGAGCAGCCATTATATCCTCATTTCAGGCCGCAGGAAGGAGGAAAGGATGAAGAAAGGCACATTTCTTCTCTTTAAGGACACTCTCTATAATTAATACACACTAATTCTGCTCATAGGCCATTGGTCAGAACTTAGTCACATGCTACAACTAGCTGCAAGGGAGGCTGGGAAATGTAGTCTTTATAACAGGCAGCCATATGCCCAGCCAAAACCAGAGGTTCTCTTACAGAAAAAGAAGAATAAGTTAATATTGAGGGATGACAAGAAGTCTTTGCGATACAGAATAAATGTGTAAGCATACAGATTAAGTTGCTATATTGAAAAGACCCCAAACTACAGCACTAGTTCAGAGAAGGTAGGTGGCTCTGTTCCACTGGGTTTTATAGGGACCCAGATTCCTTTATACTATTGTTACACCATCCCTGAAAATACTGTTCTCATCCACATGGTCTATATTGGTCCATACTATCCAAGGCTGCAGTGGGGGAAGGAGAAAGTAGAGGGCAAGAAGTTTCCTTTTTAAGGGCATCACTAGAGGCCCCTGGGTGGCTTAGTCGGTTGAGCCTCTGCCTTCTGCTCAGGTCATGATCCCAGGATCCTGGCCTCGAACCCCGTGTGGGGCTCCCTGTTCGGTGGGGAGCCTGCTTTTTTCCCTCTCCCTCTGCTACCTCTCCTGCTTGTGCTCTCTCTCTCTGTCAAATAAATAAATACAATTTAAAAAAAAAGAAAAGAAAAAAAGAGCATCACCAGGATGTGGCACACCTTGCATCTGCTCCCAGTCCACTGGCCAAGACTTAATCACATGGCTCAGCTAGCTGCAAAGGAATATGGGAAATGTAGTCTGTAGCCTAGGAGGCACTTACCTGACTGAAGCTGAGGGTTCAATTTCTAAAGAGGGGAATTGGGACCAAGGGGCAATTAGCAGTCTTCACAATGATGAGGAATGAAGGGATGGGTAATTGAGCAGCCGTGAATGAGGGGCTGGGAGGGGTCCTGACTGGGCGGAAGTCTGTCTGCGCTGGGGTTAGATGCTCTGATGCCCACCTCCAGACTCACCTCTGCTTGGCTGGGTGATGCTGGGCAGGACTGTGGGAGCTTTGACCATCTTGTCTGACCATGTGGTTTGCTTGGAGAAGAGGTGATGAGTTTGGAGAGATTTTGAGAAAGTAGAATCGACGCAACCTGGTGATTGATTTAGTGGTGAGGGGGCCCCCAGGCTTGGTGACCATCTGGGAAGATGGCTGAGAAGAGAGATCCAAAAGGAGGAAGCATGTGGGAAAAAGAGCCAATGGATCCATCCATCCATTCATTCATTCAATAATTCATTTAGTAAATATTTATTAAGCATCGTCTCTGTGTTGGGCATTTTTGTAAGTACTGGGAATATGGCAAAAGCCCTGGCCTCATGGAGCTTACATTCTAGTGAAGAGAGAGACAGACAGTAACAAATCCCCAAATAAAAATATGACATGTCAGATGCTGATAGATGCTGATAGATGTAAGGAAGGATGGGGCAGGAGAAAGGGAGACAGAATGCCTGGGAAGAGGTGGGGGGGGGCTATTTTATTTTATTGGAGTATGCCAAAGCAATCCCAGGCATCATGTAGTTTCCCTCATAAAGTATGTCTGTATGGTCCCTAAC